ACTAAGACGACTAGGATTTAGCGGTACTAGTTTGTGCCTTGTCGTTCTGTGCCTTATAGAATCCGTCAATCAATGTCTCGATGATAAATTTGATTGTCACTTTGTAGGTGCTCTCCACGTTTTCCGAATATCGATCTTCTAAAGTTCGTTTCACAGCCTCTAGAAATGGTTGTTCAATTTTCTGAAAAATAAAATTGATCGAAATATATCCAACTCTATACGTAATCTGTCACGATAGAATGAATTAAAAACTATACAAGGTGACATTTGATATTTTCGGAGAATCGATAGAGGAAATAGAAAAAAAAATTCATTGACTTAACAATTTTTTTTCACAAACTTACCCAAAAATATTGTGGATTGAAGTCAGGTATCTTCGTATGCGTGGCTCCGACTTGATGAAGACATGTCAGAAAATCATCCATGTTGTCAAGGCCTCTGATACCTTCATCTAAAGCACCCATTACTTTTTCTGCGTGTTTTCCTAATTCTACCATATCGAATCGTTCTTCTTTCGATTTTAAATCCAAAAATCGTGAGAACATCTGTATTAATTCTTCATTTTCTTCGAATAACCTATAAATAAATGTAAGTAATAATATAAGTAATAATAATAATAATAATAATAATAATAATAAAAATAATAATAATGATATAGAGAGTTTATTCGTGGGATATGAAAGATCAATTTGAAAGATCACTTCTATGGGGCAAAATCCTGTAGAATCGATCTTCAAGTGTTGATTGCACGAATCGATATCTGTATAAGAATATACTTATAAAAAATTTCAACTTATAATTTTTTTTTTCAAAGAATACATATATATTATAATATGTATAAAATAATGATAAAAGAGTTTTTGCATATAAATTGTGCTAATTTTACAATAAAATTTATTCTTAAAATATTCTTAAATAATAAGCAAAACTTAAATTTATTTGAAATATTGTAAATTCAAATTTGAAATCAGAAATATTTCGATATAATATATTTTTATATATTTTTTTATCGCAATGTTTTATTATTTATTTTTCTTATAAGATAATTTCAACTTTCTATTATTTTTATGTAAAAAAAAATAATTAACAAGATTGATAAAAAATTTTTTTAATCCATTTTTTGATAACATTGTCATTGTTATATGTTAATATTATTATTTTATAACCATAATTGAATCGTTTATTTTTTTTTTCATTATCGAATCAATTTTTATTTTATGTATATAAATAATAATATATTATTACATATTTTTTGACAAGACAAAACAAGAAAAAGTACTCAATTTCTTTTTGAATTTTTTTAGGTGTCATAAATTTCTAACTTGCCCTTTAGAGAATAGGAGCTTTTACGATACATCTTGTACTTCCTTCAAAACTTTTTGAAACTTGATCTAACAACTATTGTTACATAAAACCGACATTCCTTTTTAATATATCTCTATTCCATATTCTTTATCTTCATCTTTCTTTTAACCAACATATCTCTTAACCAAGTTTTCTTTTTTCTTAATTCTTTCTTTTCAAACGAATTGAATTTCATCTTTATATACTTTGTATATGCACATTGGTATACATTCAATGATTTTATTAATGATATTTGTTTCCCCTCTTTTCTCTTATTTTTTATCTTTCATTAAAACATAATTTATATGTATATCCACGAAAAGATTATTTTATTTTTATATTTTTTCATTAATTTAATCTAGATAGAAAAGAATAGAAAATAACTTCGTTATTTTGTTTAGGAACGATATCTATATGTATAAAATAATAATAATTAAAATATTTATTTATATCAGATATTATATATACATATATATAACGAGTTTATGATCTATTTAAAAATATAATGTATTTATTTATATATAAAACACGTATTATTTATTTTTTACAAATTATATATAAATATTTCATTTTGTTTAACTTAATTACCGTTAATTATATGTATTGAATAATTGAATAATTATCAAAATTAAAATTAATATTTGCAAGATTAAAAAGTTGCATTTTTTTGTTTTGAAATTACAAATTTTCGAAAACTATGGATTTTAGGAAAATACTAGATTTACAAATTCATATTCAATGTGTTAAATTAAAATCTATGAGAAAAATCTATCAAAGTTTATAAAATCAGATATATATTGAACAATATAATATAATAAATATGAAAAATAATATAACAAATACAGATAATTACAAATACAGGTATATATATACATATTGCAAGTAACAAATAATTTAAAAAGAAAGAAAATTGTTTAATTATTTAAAAAATAATTGAATTATTTAAAAAATTATTAAATTATCTTTATTATTGTTTTATCAAGTTCTTTGTCTTATTTGCATTTTTATTTTCATTTCGTTTATACATTTAATTAGTCAGTCTATTCTAACAAATTGTCTTATTATCATGCTCTACTTCGTTTTCTCTTAGTTCTTAAGAGTCACAGCGAAGAGCATGGAAAGATGACATGGCGGAACAACCTTAGAATGTTGAGTGACTAAAATCTTTAGTCTCAAGCTTAAAAATTCATTAAATTCATTAAATCTATCAAAACATTGAGCAAGAAGTCTAAAGATTTAGTTCCGATAAACATTAATTTTAATTAACGCAAATTTTAATATCATGTCAAATGAAATTTTTTTAACTATTATATAATATCTAATATAAATTGATTCTAGCTAAATATATTCAATCCCAAAACTATCCGACTATTAATATAATACATTATATCATATATATTATATTCTTCTGATTCAAAGAATTATTATTTATCATTTGTTATAAAACTTTTTAAATGGCAAAATAGTTTTTGCTTGATAATTGTGAACATTTTTCGTTGTGTCGAAATAAATTCAATAATATTAATATGAAAATGTGTTGAATATAACAAATATTTTTTATCGATAAAAAAAGATCGAATTATATCACCAACAATGAATAAATAAATATAATATTCAACATTTTCTTCAAAATACGTTGCTCGTGATTTGGTTCGACGGTGAGTTAATGCTATCGATTAGGCTACACGGTTCGTGATTGGTCAATATTTTTTTGTTAATAACTTGTTAATAAAACCGTAACGAAAGTTTTTCTAAAAGGAAAATATTGTTTGAAATTACCTCATAGGAATCTCCATTTTACAGATATTCCAATTTTTGGAACACTCTGTATATGTTCGCTATGTCCTGAATAGATAGAATCAATAGTAAAGAACTTAGATAAGACTCTTGAGATATGAATAGCTCATAAGAATAATTATTGACTTTGATGTTCTATAATCAAACCGCCAAATTACTGTGCACATATATTATTTTAGGAGAATTCCTTGAAGTTTAGATTTAAGATAAGATTTCCTAGCTTAAATGAAAATTTAACAAATATATAATAATAGTATATATTATAATAATATATAATAATAATAATAATAAATAATATTATATAAATAATATTACTTTTCAAATAGTATCATTTTTTCTGATATTATTTTGTTTTATTCGATATATTGAAATGTTTCGTTTTAAAAATATATTGAAACATCTAAAGTTCTTTAACATTTTAACATTTTTTAACATTTTAAATAAAATTATTACAAAATATTATGCATTTTTTGAAAATTTAAAATATGATTTATTTTATTTTTAATAAGAAAAAATACAAAGAGAATGATAAAGATTTCAAATATCTATCTCGAATATTTCAAAACATTGAAGAAGATTAGAACGTTTGAGAAGAGAATTGATTTCAGGATTTTTTTCTCTCTCTCCTCCTTTTTCTCCTTTTTCTTTGTCCTATCCAAATTTTCAACTTGTTTGGTCAGTGAAGTACATATAACGCTACACTTGAAAATAGAAATGCTATTTTCAAATAGTATTTGTTCGTGAAAATACTTTTTAGTTTTGATTTCAACTTTTCAATATTTTATTTCAAAGTTATTCTCTTCATCCCTATTACTTATTGGCTGCACTTCTTAATTTACTAAAAAAATTGTTTTAATATTGATAAAATATGTTTTATACCATTTCTATTTTTTTATCTGTGCTATCGTGTTAACCAAAATTTGATTAAAAAAGGATGACATGTAAAAAAAATTCTTATTAACATTAAACTAACAGGTTGTGAATTCCAATATTCCAAGCATAATACGCACGTATAGCACGTTTATTGATTCCGGAGGCACTGGTTGGACTAAACGTCTCTGATCGACTTTCATCTCGAACCATGATGTCGGGGATATAGGCAGATCAAGCTTGATTAAGTTGCTTTAAAGCGGTTCTCCGTACAATTTGCATACATTTGAATATGTTTATTATTTGTTGTTCGATATTTGTTGTTTTCATCGAATAAAAAGTAAATCAAATATAAATGACGAATTTATTAATTTTTTTTCTAAGTACTAAAATATACGTATGTATATTTGGATTGGTCAATAAGACATTGTTATTTTTTTTTTTTTTTTAAAGAAAATTTTCAATTTTTCTAAATTTGTTTTGCAAAAACAATTTCCAGCTCGATTTAATTCAAACTTTTCTTTTTATAAAGTTATGACTTTTTTTTTACAAAATATCTATATCTTTATGAGAATGAAATTAATCTCCAAAGTTCTATTATGTTATGTTATGAATGCAATTTTGCTTGAAAAAAAATTTCATTAAAATCAGAATTATCGAATTAGCTAAATTTTTTTGTTTCTATAAGTGTATATCCGGGTATTATTTCGAAATAAGCAATAATCGTCTAGTTCAAGATTTCCGCTTCTTTGTTTGAAATCGAAATTTTTTATTCGTGAAAACAAGAAACGGAAAAGAATTGTTTCATAACCGAATGAGATGATATATCATTCTATTCTTTTCAAAAAAGTAATTAATATTGCTCGGACGACCACTTTATGATTTGTCACTATTTCGAGCCCGTTCTCGCTCGTTTTTTTTTTATCTCTTCCAAGAACAAAAGTAAGCCGAATGGTATATTTTATATCTGTCTTATATCAAATAATCATTTGACTAGTCTTGGACGAATTGATTATTTTGGAACATAATATCATATAATATTTTTAAATAGATAAAACCGAATGAAAATATAAAATTTTGATGATACATGAACATAGACTTAGAATAATTATACAATGTATTTCAGGAACTATTAGCAATAAGAAACGAAAAAAGAATGAGAAATATGTTTTCAGCGAAGTTGAAAAAAAAGGAAAAAGATAAAGAAACGAAGAAGAAAAAGAAAAAAAAGAAGAAAATAATAATAAATAAAAAGAAATAATCTGTAAACATGTATAAAAGATTAGAAAAAAGAAGAAAATTGATTATAAGACTAAAAGAAAGCTTATTAAGAAAGAGAACAATAGAAAAGAGGATGAAAGGTGGAATTAAAAAAAGAACATTCGTGTTTAAAAAATGGATAAAAAATAGCATGGAGGATAGTGGAAAATGAAAAAACGGAATAGACTCATTTTCACGTCGACTCGTCTAGAAACAACCATGAGCGCACTATTTCTGCGCCTGGTCACGTGAATAGGTCTGAAAATGCCAATACGAGGAAGTCCATTGTCCGTTAACAGTCGGATAGAAGCGGAAAAACAACAGTCGCTTGCGTTTCATGTCGGAACTTTCAATCCTCGAACATTCGTTAACATTGAAAAACGAACAAAAAAAGGAAAAACAGAAAAAGATAAATACATCCACATCATTTATTCGTTATTAATCGTTTGCTATTTTATGAAAATATCTTCATCAAAAATTATCATCAAGCCTATAATCGGAACGATGGTATGAGAGAAAAAATTTTGTTATGTTTGAGGAATTTAATCACAACTTTTCGATAATGAGTTCTGAGCGAATTTTCTGTGTTCCATAACGATTTTTCTAAATATTCTGTAATTGTATTTTTCAATATTTTTTAAACGAGATTTTTTTTTATATACATATATATATATATGTATATAAAAAAAATATATATATATTTAATCAAAATTAAATAAGTTATGAATCCTTATTTTTGTAATTATTCACATAAAATAAATTAAGATCTATCTTAAATAGACATTATATACATATAATAATATATAATATAAATAGACATTGTATACATTACTTTGACATGAGATAACGATTGATTATGATTGATTATACTTATCATATATGTATGTACACAATGAATTTCAAAAAAGATATTTATTAATTTTTAATAAAAATTTCTTTCTTATTTTCTTTAATTCTCTCTTTCTAAATATTTTTTATATCCACTTGATTATTGGTTAAAGGAGGATCGAATTTGCACAATTTTCTCTTCGATCTACGATAAATTATTTCAGGGTAGCCCTTTGTAGGCATAACATCCTGTACGCTCTAATTACGCCGAGAGTGCATCAATATCAGGAATCTCATAATTCAATAATAAAAGGATAGATAAAGATAGAAAATAAAGAGAGAGGTCAATGCATGTAAAATCCCTCAAAAGGGATTTACCGTGAAAACGAATAGCGAATAATGGAATCATTTATTGAACATTGGTAAGGAAAATGTAATTAGGTGTTAAACAGATTTAAAAATATCAGTTGATATTTACAAGTTTGAACATAAGTTTAACCCTAATTGAATTTTTTCTTCCCTTTATAAAAAAATTGATTATGATTTAAAACAATTTTTCATTCGGATACAATTTCATTTCTAGATTATTGTGGCTGCGCATCTCTAGAATCAGTGGTTATTTCTCAATAATATTTTTTTTGTTTTTTTTTTTTTTTTAGCACCACAAATCTAAATAAAATTAATTAGGAAATACGCAAAATTAGACTCAGTGTCTGTTTTATGCGGTCACACAATATAATAGTTTCCTATTTTTTTTTTTTCATATAAATATTCGTTTTAGTAGAATAAAGGCAGTGCTTTTTTTAATTAGAATAAGGTGATTATGCGAACAAGTAATTATCTTTTTTTTTATTAATTTTCTATTATTTAAATTTTTTTATCAAAAAATAGGACAATTATTAGAATTTCAATTTTTATATTTATAAGTTTTTATTTAAAGATTTTAATTTTTATTGTTATGATTTCTAATTAGAATTTTTATCATATTTATAATATGATATGATTTAAAATATCTATTTTTTGTTACAGATATTTGCCAGTCTTTGCGATCATTTCCCACGAGTAACAACAATGCAGATTTTTCGCATCTAATGATGAATTACATGTATTTTGATTCTTCCAGTCACTCAACTCGGATGTCGGAGACATTTTGCGACGCTTTTCTAGGCTTTTTGTGCCTCAATTATGAATGAGAATCATGAGTATGTTGATGTGCTTGTTTTGCAATTTTTTTAAAATACAAAACTAATTAAAAAAACTAGAATAAGTAATATACTTCTGATATGTCTGTTAATTATAAATAGATAGAGCCGGATAGATATAATTAAATAAATTGTATCTGATCGAATAGATATGCGTTTTCAAATGATAACCTGTTTCAAAAAATAAAATTTAAAAAATGGAGGATAAAATTGAAAAAAGTGATTATCATTTATGGATACTCGTTTTGTCCATTGATTCCGTGATCGGAATCGTGAAATGTTTCAAAACGAATGTTGCACTCAAGATTCTGCGTACATATACGGATAAAGATCCTTACGATCATCGATCGTTCATGTGTATTTATCTTCCTTTTTATTCTTTTCTTTCTTTATCATTAATTTAGTTACTGCAATTGAGTTTTTTTTCACAAATATAAATTGAAGAAAATAAAAAGTAGAAAATAATTGATATAATGCTTGATTTTTATTTGCTATAAACTGATTATCTTTTTTATCTAATTATATCTTTTTATTTAGAACGATTATGATTTAGAACGAATTTTGATTGAAAAAAAGAAGAATTGTGTATGTACTTTGAATTTTTATAATAATAAACTTGTCAAACTTGATAAATAAATAAAATATAAAATTAAAACATGTAAATATTATATTATAAGTTAATTATAAATATTAAATTATATTATAAGTTATACAATTTCTAAATTGTAAATTTTCGCCAATTATTTCTTATCTGAATTCTCGGATAACGTTCAAATCTATCTGGAAAATTATTCTTAAAAAAAAAAATAAAAAAGAAAAATAATTATTCTTGAATTACACACGAAACTTCAAATACGTCAATTATGATGGGTTATTACGCCAGTATAAAAACCTATTGTTCTTTCGAACATTGGAAGATCGATAGATAAAGAGGAATTGCGTGCGTTTGACAGAGAAAAAATTGAAGAATATGAAATCTAGTATTTGTTGAATAGAAAGGGTTGAAGGAGGGGAATAGAGAAAGAAAGAGATTGTTCGATTTTAATTAACATCAAAGATCTCATAAAATTTACCCGTAATTTTTTTAGTTAATTTTATTAATATTGAATATTGAAAACTGAATATTTTTTGTATTTTTTCTCAAGTAAGTACATATTGAGTTTTTCTATTTCCAACTCGATAAATATAGTATCATATCTTTATCTTATCTACATATATTCACTAATTCTTATATATTCTTTTTACTATAATCAATTTATTACACGATTCAATTTTATTCTTTTATATATATATACGTATATTTCTGATATGAATAATTAATTTTTTTTTTATAAAATAGATATCTATAATTATATTATTTCGATAAAATTGTAATGTGATATCATGCTCCATTAACGTTTTAAATGAAAGCAAAGATAACGTTAATTTATATTTGCCAATCTTTGGATATCATATCGTATAATTTTCATCATATATATTCATATATAGTTTCTCGTATTTTAATTTTAATAATTAACAACAGATACATTTTAGAAAAAAGAAATGGTATTGAATAGAGGAAACATGAAAAGAGTAATGGATGATTCACAAGCGCGGCAAATATTTTATAAAATGAGAGATGATCGTTCGAATCATGTAAAAACCGACGAATAGTAATAAGGATTGCTGATGAAAGTTTTTGATCGAAATCTGGTTTTCTATTAAAAAAATACGTCAAATCCTTATATCAGATTTGATAATGCAAAATTGAGAAAAAATTGTAACAAATTACTAACAAAAACTATTATTTTCGATAAACATTTATCGCGTTTCAATGAAAAAAAATTGAAAATAAATATTTTATTTCATATTACAAATGTAATATATGTATACAAACAAATGTAATAATATTTCGAATTGATAATTGTTTTATAAAAATATCTTGCGAGTTTTCGTTTAAATATTTTTGTTTTAATTTATTTTAAATTTTATACTGACATTCTATAAAAAATACAAATAAAATATTTCCGATCAACTCGATAGTATTCAAGTTACTCACTTTAGGTATTTGATTTATTTTAGTTAGAAAAGAAAATAAGAAATGATTAAATCATGTCATATATATAATATAATAAATCATCCCTTAGAACGGAAGATGAAAGAAAAAAAGATGTATAGTAAACGATCGTATAAGAGAAAGATGCGATATATAGGAATCAATGAGCGCATTCTGCCTTTGGAAAATTGCGTTTGACGTTGATGGTGTCCTTGAAGAGCCTAAATGCTCATCTAATCGCGTAATAGCGTATGGCGCTGTGTATGGGCTAACGTAATAATACATACGTCGTATCTCATCAAATATTTGATAAAGTTCAAATTAAAATTTGTCTTATATTAATAATTTTTTGTTGAAAATATGTTAATTATTTAACATTTTTTTGCGTATCACGATAATAATATCATTACAAATACGATTGATTTTGGAAATTCGCTTCTTGACGTTCGATGCAATTTGATAATGTCGATTTTCCAAGAAACCGATTATAAAATTTTCAATGATCATCGTTTTATCGATGAATAAAATTACAGAGGAAAATTTTACATATAATCGATTCGAACTGTGTTTATATATCGAATATCTAACTATTTTTGCATTTATTTTGTTGGATAGTAAAGAGTAAAATAATCGCCTGTTGAACGAAAAGCGTTAAAACGTTACAAACCTCATAAGCATAAAGACACCAGTCGTCTCCAATTTTCTGGATACAGCTTTCCAGCTGGCCATAACCGTAAATTTTTGTTTTGCCGTAAGCGGAAGTCGTGGATCTGTGGTAGGTTGATTTGGTGTAGCCAATTTGCCAAGTTCGCAACCCATATCGAGTTGGCTTATGTTTTCCTCTCTTCTTGACGAATAAAAATAAAAAGAAAATCACCAGCACAATTGCTATTTATCTTTTATCCACAAAAGTTTAATACCACGAAAAATATTCACCTCTATAGAAATATTAAGCTTGGAGTTAAAACATTTGACGACTTCGCGTCAACGATGAATCTTTCTACACCATGATAGAAATCAATCCGGCCGAGAAAACGAACGAACGAACAAACTTTGATCAACCAAGCAATCGTTTCCTTTTCCTTTCACAGTTTGATCGAATCACTTGTGCCTGAAGCGTTTCACCAGATTATTCGATTAATTTTATTGATCCACTAATTCAAGATCGTAGAACAAAAATGAATTTTCGTATCTTCCTGAATTAATCACTTTCGAATCATATTTATAATTAACATTTTACGAATAATATTTAATAATTGATTTAAGATACGGATTTAACATGGGTTTCCAATGGGTTAACGATCCATTCCATTCGAGACTAACTTGATCGAAAATGTGTCAAACGTTGGTATGAAAAGTTAAAAAGTTCACTTGTCCTCGTGTTGATTTAAAATTCGATTCATAAATGAATCCGCGTGTTCAAATTTAGCGAAAACCACTTTTTTCTTATTTTATTATTGATTTATCTTCTTTGAATCTTGCTACGGATTTATATATAACGATGAATTTGGATCGATTTCCTTGATTCATTCGAAGATCCTTTTCAAGAACGTCTTTTCATCTTCAACGAGTAAATGTGTCGAAAATTTCTACTGGACGAAACATAAGAGAATTCTGATTGGAACGACTTTTGCGATAACAGTTCGTTGACAAAGAAAAAGAAAAGAAAAACGATGGACATTGGTTATACGATTGGAATTATCCGTGATCTGTTGGATGAACAAAAAGGGAAAATAAAAACAAAACGGTCGAATGGATGTATTTTATTAACGAATGTGTACTCTTAAAAAAAAAAAGATAGATTTAAATTGATTTTATTACTCGAATCATTGGCGTTTGCCAATGTTTGATGTATTTTTCGGTACAAAAGTTATTATATAGTGCATAAACAAGAATACTGAATGTTGAAATAAATTACGATTCGAATAATTCAAATAATTAAATTTGAAAAAATTCTTATTCGTATTGCTCAGTTTTTTAACGAGTTTTACCAATTTTATCAAATATTAAATATTAACGATAAATTTGAATATTTTTAAATTTTATTTTTATTATTTTTATAATTTTTTATTATAAAAATATGTTATATATCAGTCTTTTTATTTTGATTTTTGAATTTATTTTTTGAATTTAAACGAATTTTGAATTGAACGTTTAAACGAATATACGAAAAACGAAAAAACATTAGATTTCGAGAGGAAAAATGTGAAAAATATATAACGGAAAATAAGGAAAAGTGTGAAAAGACAATTCTTATTAAAATTTAAACAAAGTTGGCGACGACTCGTTTCGTAATTTAAAGACAAAATTCTTAAAGAATTGTTGCCGTAGTTGAACCGAAGATAAATAATTATAAGGAAAAACCGAAAAGAACGAATAAATAAATGAAACTTTCTTCTTCGATGGAAAAATATTAAACTCGACACAGAGTGGAAGCAGTAACGAAGATGAAAATTAAAAAGAAAAAAAAAAGTTTTCGAGAAATAATTAGAAAACGCCGGAGTTTAAGATTAAAGAGATATACATATACAAATATATATTTAAGAGTGGAAAAAGATCAGAGAATATATATATATATATATATATATATATATAAAAGAAAAGAAATCGAATATAATTCAAAGAAAATTTGAATAAGAGTAATTCTATTGGATAGTCTTTAAAAATCGATAATATTTGAAAACTAATGATCCGATTCATCGAGTACGATTCTCGTCTGTTATTTTTGAAATAGATTCTATTAAAATAGGAATGGAGGCGAATAATATAAATGAAAAAAAGGAAGTATATTGCCATTTATAAATAGAGATCGAATGGATGTTGACTTTTATAAAAAAAAATTTTGTGCCCAATTTTTGAATTGTTTCATTTTTTTTATCTTTTAATTTGCTATATTAATTTTATATATAATATAATTCAACTTTGTAGTATATAATGTAATATATAGTATTTTAAAATTTATTCAAATCATCGTTAAAATTATAATTTTAAAAAATTGTTAAATAATACAATTTAATCTCAAAATATTCTATTCTAATTTCTAAAAATCCTATTTATTTTATATTTTTGTTTTGAAATTATTCATTAAACGTGCATTGAGTGACATTTATTTTGCAAAATTTAAAATAGAATTCATATAGATATATGATCTAATATAAAGATCTGAATTTTGAAGAAAAAAATATCAATGTTTTATCATTTCATATTATAAAAATAATGTAATAACAAAATAATATCCAAATTTATCTGAATTTGCTAAATGTTTGTTGTACACATGAGTGTATTGCGATATAAAAAATAACGCGATAAAACTTTGAAACGATAAAAGTAAATGCAAAATACATTTTTGTTCTATATTGATGAGACTTTTGATCAAAAAACGGAATACAAAATACAAAATACAAAATAGAGCGACAAATTTAACTACTTATGCGATATATAATATCATTTTTTTTATTTTCCGTAACGAAAAATATTTTTCAAAGAAGAACACGCGTAAACATTAGATTGCAAAATTTGATAGAATAATTAAATTTTCGTTTATTCGAAATCACGTTTAAAAGGTAAACTACTCCCGTTTGACATCGTGTCAAACATTTTAACACGAACATCAATTCCCGTCGCATATAATCCTTTCCCGTTAATCACTAATCGAAAACCAAAAGATGAAAAGGATGAAAGCAGGAAAGAGACGTAGCCGAAAACAAAGAAGAAGAAACATAATCCATTTTTTTTTCACAAAGAAGAAAAATCTTATTCACCGTTCAATCTTCTCTCCCGAATATGACACGAACAAAGTAAACAGGGTAAACAAGAATGATGGAATAAATCACCTGATGTGCGATACGCGGTTTCCCTGATCCCCTGATACGATGTTTCGCGTACCACGAATTGTCAATCACGAATTGTCAACCACGAATCGATTCGAACACGATTTATAACCCGTCAAACTTCTCCTCCTGTTTGTTGGTCAGTGGTACTGCACCCTGTTTCCTCTTCCTCATCTCGGTCCACGGAAGAGAGAAGCGAGTATCGTAACGCGCCAGACGAAATTTCTCTCGTCCCTCGTGAGTACGCGGACTCCTCTCGATACGAAAGCGGCGAGATCTCATTCGAATCACAGTCTCTCGAACCTGAAAAGACCTGTGAATATTACGATGTCGAAACACTATTGGTGAGCGGCACACGCGACACGGTTCCTGTTTTCTATCTTTAGAACGTCTCCCGGGGCTCCGGATCGAGGGGATTTTCGAAGGGGATGATGATTTTCGTCGCGAATTCCGTGTTGCCTTTAGCCCAGACGAGCCGAGACTGAGCCAGCGGTAACAAGTGCTCAGCTCGAGCGCGCACATGCGCGCAACCAATCCTCCCCTTGTCCCTTCACCAACCCTCGCGTTAACCATCTTCCTCGATACAATACCTGCGACCAATTAATCGACCACTTTGCATTTTTCTCCGCCGCCGGAGAATTGGATTGGACAATGGAGGGGATAAATAAGGTTGCGAGGAAGATGATGATTTTTATCTTTCGTCTTTATCTTGAAAAAAAGAATCTTGAAAAAAAGAAAGAAGATTTGTTTCATAATGGATGATTTGCGGGAAAATGAAAAAGCGATCGCGAGTGAAATCGCAATAGTTTGTATCTCTGTACATCTTTTTATTCGTAGCTACGATAAAAAATAAAAATTGATGGAAAGTAATAATTAAATACATTTTATAAAAGTGATTAACGTGATAATAATACCATGGCAAATCCGACAGGTGTGTTTACATTGGTTAAGAACGTAGAACGGAGAGGTTCTATGAAAAGGCCGGAAGATCCTCGGCTCGCGATCAACCTACCAATCAGCTGGCTTTGTGTTGATTCAAGCGAAAGCCGCGCGGCAAGGTTTCCGTTCTTTCAGAGGCCGCTTCTTGGTTTAGTTCGCCACGACGCGTATCCTCGACGCGACGTTTCTCTCGATCCGTTCGATAAATCGATTTCTCTGATCAATTGGCGAATATCCGATACTTTTGAATGGTAAAAATAAACTAGTGCGTCGAACAAATTACGGGAGCGTTCTACTTTGTACGTTTACGTGTCGTCAACGCCCGATCCTTGCTTCGCTTTTATCCAATTTCCTCTCGAATTCGCGTTGATCGTGATCAAACGATTAATTGAGTACGACAATATGAGCATCGAATACGGTTTAATTGTAAAAGATTATGTTTTCGAATGATATTCTCGATGGATATATATTATTTTTCATAGAAATGATACGTCGCGTCATTGAAGTTGGCAAAAAAAGCAAAAAGAAATGTTTCGATGTAACAATAGTAGCAATAATATTTCGAAAACTATGAGTTTACAATAATCCGTTTCACAACTATTGTAATCGAAGCTCAAGGCATGAGTTTTTAATCCTCCTAATAACGATAAAACGAAGCAAAATTTCTTTTCGTGACAATTTCATAACAAAACGAAATTGGAAATTTGTGGTGAATAATGAATTATGAAATGTGAAATTACGAACGATGGAAATATAAGTAAGAAAAGTAGATAGGATATATATCGGTGACGCAAAGCTGGACGAAAACAACGATCTTCTTATTGATCAGGTAGATATCGGCAAAAAATTTTAGAAATCTTTTTTCTTACAAAATATAATTTATAAAATACAAAATATAATTTATAAATATAATACAAGATTGTTTCTGTTCATTCGTAAATGTCCAATCCATTTAATTCGTTTAAATTGTTATCTTGATATCATCTAAATTGCTATCTTCGATCAGGAAAAAATTGTATATCTCTATAATAACAAATAATTTCTAGGAAAGATTTTTCCCTTATCTACTATTTTAAAAAATTTTAAAATTAAATAAATAGTTATTATATTATTTTTTATTATTTTAAATTATTTTTTATTATTATAAAATAAGTTATTATGGGTTACGGATTTTAAAACAAATATGTTGATTCGTGTTCAACACCATTTGAAAGCGCTTTACAAAGTTCGATGATTATTCCAACCATAAATTTGCATTTTCATAAGATAAACATGACTGCTATTGTATCAGATACACACGCACGATCGATAATCTTTTAGCAAGTACAATGTGGAAAATAGAAAACTTGAACTTTTTTGAACCTTTAAAGAAAGAAAAATTAAAAGTACGATTTAAAAAATAATATTTATTTTAAAGAGAAATTATTTAGCAATTTTTTTCTATGTACAATTATACATATGATATAATTTCGAGATTTTGAATTTTTAAATTTGATATTTACTTAGCTATTATACGCGGAGAATATCTCTGTTGGATATTATACATTATTTTATATGACATATATACATTAATTTATATCAAAAAGTCATTGTATAAAAAAGTCATTTTAAATATGTAAATAAATATTATAAATAATTTCAAGAAAATACTAAATTTTAAAAAGCTATATGAGATAGCCTCGATTGATTTCGCTTCAGTTTCTATTTATTTAAAATTTCAGAAATTCGAGCTCCAAATTCTCTTAAGTACTTAATTAGTACTTAATTATATAAATATTCATGAATGCTAAATTATAAAAAAATATGTGAGATATTCTAATGATCATTCTTGAGCCTTTCCATAAAATATATAACATTTGGTGAGATTTATTCAAACTTGTCAAAAGTTGGATTGAATTTCTGATCGGATATAACAACCATAATAAGAACAAACCTCATGGTATAGACCTAATGATTCGTATCGAAAAATTATTTGTTTAATCATTAATTGATTCACTGCTTTTTAATTTAAATCGAAATGTAAAATTAATCGTTACGATTAATCAATTAATTATTTCATCCCTCCTTTGATATTTGTTTAAAATATTGCGAAAAAAAGAAAGAAAAAAGAAAAGAAGAATTTCCTTTTTTCTTGCCGCAAACAAAATATTATTAGCCGAAGAATCGTGTTTTCGAGAAAGAAACACGCGGATATACGGATTAAATACGAGCTTTCGATTGAATGTAACGCGTTTTATTGATTATAAATTATTTACGCAACTGTATATGCATTTGATTTATATCTATACTATATACTATTAGGATCTCGATAATAATTGGAATTTTCATTTTTTTACTCGCTCTGATTTTCGAAATCTCAACAAAATATCATCTCGTGGACTTTCAATTTTTTCATTCTCGTTATTTTATCTTTTTGTTTCAATTTTTTTGTTTTTTATTTTGATCATGCTTCTTGCTCTATTAGCGGGATATTCTATCTTCGTAACGTGATACACTTTGTATCTGTTTTTCTTTTGCATTGATCACCACTAAAGATTTTTATCATGCCATTTCCTCCGTTTTTCGTTTTATTTCTCAATACAAAGTGCTTTTCGAATGATTCTCGATCCCTTTGAATTTGCTGTATCCACATAATTCGACGGTATGGTCGTGAAACTCCTCCTTCTTCCTGCCTTTTGCCCAATTTTCAACTCGAAATTCATCCATATTTTTTTACCATACTCTCTCCCTTTTTTTATTCATTTTTCTCGTTTTTTCTCACTTTTGTTTTATCCTTCTTGAATAATAATCATATATTTTTGTGGCTAATTGTAAAGATGTATATTGATTTGGACAAGAACCTCGTAATAAATCATTATTATAGAAATATATATAATCATTTATTATAGAAATATATAAAAAGATATTGATTCGTAATTAAATCTAATTTGTAAACTCGTTTCATTATTTTTCATTATTTATCGATGAATAAAGTAAAATTTGATAAGATAGAAATGGGAATATATATATATATACGTTAAATAAATATAAGAAAAGCAAAAATTATTTATTAAATCAATTTTGAAATACTTTTTAAACATATTCCTTTGCGACTCGAGTTATTCAACTAAGATGAATAATCACGATTAATATGAATTAGAATTAGAAAATACCAGATTCAGCGATTGTCGTTTCGGTTAGTGGCGGCAACTCGTTCATCGAGTTTCGACCTCTCGAGGCCGCGTCTGTGCCTGGAATCATAATTTCGCTTGGAATGAAAATTCTCGACGAAGAATCCCTGAGGCATTCCATAGTCGTCGATCGAGGATGTACGATACGATCTACGATAAGAAAACGCATGGCTCGTCTTGTCTGACAATTTTTTCTTTGAATAAAAATGATAAAGAGAAGTAGTAGTTTACCGTTTTTGCAAGATGGATAAATATAAAATTCACTATAGTATCAAATTGATATTGCTATTGTTTCCGTTGATTTATAAAGAGAAAGAGAAAGAACAAATTAGCATATGCGATTATTTAATGATTTTTCTCAAAATTTTGAATATTTGATTCTTAAAAATTTTCTTTTTTTTCAAAGTTTTATTTTAAAAAAAAATTCATCCAAAGAGAAAGAGAGAGAGAGAGAGAGAGAACAATTTTGAAAAGAATATATTTTCATATTTTTCACTGCGATATCGATCGATGTTGGATATTTCGTTTCAAAGGACACATTTTTATAATATCTAATGCTTAATAATATATAATCAATGGTTCTAATATTAAAATTTACGAGATACACAACGTTTAATTTGTCCAATCCAATCTCTGTTCAAAGATAATTAGACGCGATTCGTGAGAAAGTATTCGATTCGATTGTTGGTTGAATTACACGGGATAGTTCGATGGTATCCACGAAATCGTATCGAAGACTGATGATTTTCGAATGACTGCGAATATCGGAAGGCTTTAAAATGCTAATTATCGATGTTTGGGATGTCGACTGCACGTCAATTATTAGAATTTTAAAAAATACCGCGTTGTTTAAGTTGACGGGTGCACGATAGAGTTCGATCCAAATTATCGTGGCAGACGTTTGAATTTTTTGCGGTAAAAGACCTCGATCGGACCAAACCTGAAGCTGATGAGAAATATCCTGTCAAGAGGAACACAGGTTCAACCAATTCCACCAATTATCGAACATGTAACCGCTTCAGAGTTCGCATGTTTGCGCGTTCGAGCCTCTTCTATTTCTATAGAAAACTTTGCCTGATGAGGATCAATTTTTCTTTTTTTTTTCTTTTTTCTTTTTTCTTTTTTTCTTTTTTGTTCATCGATATTGGATAAAATGCATATCTATTATACAGGATGTTTCCCATAGCGTGATACAATTGATTAGGATCATGTTTTTCAATTTTTTTTGAAGCACAATTCTTTTTTTTATAATGTTTAAATAAGTTGTGATCCGCATCTCTTTTTGCAATTAAATAAAAATAATATTTTAAATATTCCATTTTTTATCTGCGCAAAAAATCTATCTACAGTATTCAATACCTTTAATACTTATTTACACATAATTATTATGAATTTTTATTTCTTTCGGAATTAAACTTTTTTTTTTAAATGTACGAAAAAATTCCTTACGCTTAAAAAATTTATCGATTTTTATGAGAAAAATCTTTATCTTTATCTTATAAAGAAGATAAGTCGTACAAAATTATCTTGTTCCACATTAGAAAAAAAAAAAAACAGTTAATGTGGATCAGCAATCGGATAAGATGAAATGACTATATCCACGTTATTATATTCAATATCCAAATGATTTAATCAACAGAATCACTTTATTCTATTTTTTATTCGTTTCATTCGATTTATAATTAAATTATAATTAAATTATATTAATTTAGTAAATAATTGTGAATCTATATTTTTCTATATAAAAATTATTTCTATATAAAAATTATTTCTATATAAAAATTATTTGATTTCGGTATTTAGAGAAACCACGTCGTTTACGAATATATCAAGTTCTACGTTCTACAAAATGTCTTCAAAGACAGGAAACGGCGCAGTCCGAAAAATTAAATTATTAATAACAGTAAAAATTAGGTTTTTTCCTTCGATTCGATCCGAAAAGTTTAGCAATAAAATCGTATTATTAGGAGTAACCTAGATATATAATCAAAGGAAGGTATCTCGTGAGAAAATATCCGAGTATTTAATAGCATCGGATCACGGAACATAAAGAAACTTCTCTATCGATTTTGGATCAATAATCTTGTGAGAGATCATCGAAGAGATTCATAAAATCTTTGAATGTTCATTCACAAAAAATATCGAATCGATTGAAAAAAAATATTATTTAATATATATAAAATTATATTTTA